TTTTTTCGGGTCGAAATTTTTTGAATTTCGATATTCAGCTCTGGAAGGGTCTAGAGCCTCCATTTTTGCACTCAGGTCAAAGTCTCGCGCCCCTCTATCAGAATCCAGAGTTTGAGAAGATTGGAGAAACTTAATTTTTCGCCCAAAAATGAAAAAAAACGAAGGGGTAACACTGTCGTTTTTTTTTCGGGTCGAAATTTGAATTTCGATATCTCAGCTCTGGAAGGGTCTAGAGCCTCCATTTTTGCACTCAGGTCAAAGTCTCGCGCCCCTCTATCAGAATCCAGAGTTTTGAGAAGATTGGAGAAACTTCATTTTTTCGCCCAAAAATGAAAAAAAAAACGAAAGGGGTAACACTGTCGTTTTTTTTTCGGGTCGAAATTTTGAATTTCGATATCTCAGCTCTGGAAGGTCTAGAGCCTCCATTTTTGCACTCAGGTCAAAGTCTCGCGCCCCTCTATCAGAATCCAGAGTTTTGAGAAGATTGGAGAAACTTCATTTTTCGCCCAAAAATGAAAAAAAACGAAAGGGGTAACACTGTCGTTTTTTTTTCGGGTCGAAATTTTGAATTTCGATATCTCAGCTCTGGAAGGGTCTAGAGCCTCCATTTTTGCACTCAGGTCAAAGTCTCGCGCCCCTCTATCAGAATCCAGAGTTTTGAGAAGATTGGAGAAACTTCATTTTTCGCCCAAAAATGAAAAAAAACGAAAGGGGTAACACTGTCGTTTTTTTTTCGGGTCGAAATTTTGAATTTCGATATCTCAGCTCTGGAAGGGTCTAGAGCCTCCATTTTTGCACTCAGGTCAAAGTCTCGCGCCCCTCTATCAGAATCCAGAGTTTTGAGAAGATTGGAGAAACTTCATTTTTCGCCCAAAAATGAAAAAAAAACGAAAGGGGTAACACTGTCGTTTTTTTTCGGGTCGAAATTTTGAATTTCGATATCTCAGCTCTGGAGGGTCTAGAGCCTCCATTTTTGCACTCAGGTCAAAGTCTCGCGCCCTCTATCAGAATCCAGAGTTTTGAGAAGATTGGAGAAACTTCATTTTTCGCCAAAAAAGAAAAAAAAACGAAAGGGGTAACACTGTCGTTTTTTTTTCGGGTCGAAATTTTGAATTTCGATATCTCAGCTCTGGAAGGGTCTAGAGCCTCCATTTTTGCACTCAGGTCAAAGTCTCGCGCCCTCTATCAGAATCCAGAGTTTTGAGAAGATTGGAGAAACTTCATTTTTCGCCCAAAAATGAAAAAAAACGAAGGGGTAACACTGTCGTTTTTTTTTCGGGTCGAAATTTGAATTTCGATATCTCAGCTCTGGAAGGGTCTAGAGCCTCCATTTTTGCACTCAGGTCAAAGTCTCGCGCCCTCTATCAGAATCCAGAGTTTTGAGAAGATTGGAGAAACTTCATTTTTCGCCCAAAAATGAAAAAAAAACAAAAGGGGTAACACTGTCGTTTTTTTTTCGGGTCGAAATTTTGAATTTCGATATCTCAGCTCTGGAAGGGTCTAGAGCCTCCATTTTTGCACTCAGGTCAAAGTCTCGCGCCCCTCTATCAGAATCCAGAGTTTTGAGAAGATTGGAGAAACTTCATTTTTCGCCCAAAAATGAAAAAAAACGAAAGGTAACACTGTCGTTTTTTTTTTCGGGTCGAAATTTTGAATTTCGATATCTCAGCTCTGGAAGGGTCTAGAGCCTCCATTTTTGCACTCAGGTCAAAGTCTCGCGCCCCTCTATCAGAATCCAGAGTTTTGAGAAGATTGGAGAAACTTCATTTTTCGCCCAAAAATGAAAAAAAAAAAGGGGTAACACTGTCGTTTTTTTTTCGGGTCGAAATTTTGAATTTCGATATCTCAGCTCTGGAAGGGTCTAGAGCCTCTATTTTTGCACTCAGGTCAAAGTCTCGCCCCCTCTATCAGAATCCAGAGTTTTGAGAAGATTGGAGAAACTTCATTTTTCGCCCAAAAATGAAAAAAAACGAAAGGGGTAACACTGTCGTTTTTTTTTCGGGTCGAAATTTTGAATTTCGATATCTCAGCTCTGGAAGGGTCTAGAGCCTCCATTTTTGCACTCAGGTCAAAGTCTCGCGCCCCTCTATCAGAATCCAGAGTTTTGAGAAGATTGGAGAAACTTCATTTTTCGCCCAAAAATGAAAAAAAACGAAAGGGGTAACACTGTCGTTTTTTTTTCGGGTCGAAATTTTGAATTTCGATATCTCAGCTCTGGGAGGGTCTAGAGCCTCCATTTTTGCACTCAGGTCAAAGTCTCGCGCCCCTCTATCAGAATCCAGAGTTTTGAGAAGATTGGAGAAACTTCATTTTTCGCCCAAAAATGAAAAAAAACGAAAGGGGTAACACTGTCGTTTTTTTTTCGGGTCGAAATTTTGAATTTCGATATCTCAGCTCTGGAAGGGTCTAGAGCCTCCATTTTTGCACTCAGGTCAAAGTCTCGCGCCCTCTATCAGAATCCAGAGTTTTGAGAAGATTGGAGAAACTTCATTTTTCGCCCAAAAATGAAAAAAAAACGAAAGGGGTAACACTGTCGTTTTTTTTTCGGGTCGAAATTTTGAATTTCGATATCTCAGCTCTGGAAGGGTCTAGAGCCTCCATTTTTGCACTCAGGTCAAAGTCTCGCGCCCCTCTATCAGAATCCAGAGTTTTGAGAAGATTGGAGAAACTTCATTTTTCGCCCAAAAATGAAAAAAAACGAAAGGGGTAACACTGTCGTTTTTTTTCGGGTCGAAATTTTGAATTTCGATATCTCAGCTCTGGGAGGGTCTAGAGCCTCCATTTTTGCACTCAGGTCAAAGTCTCGTCGCCCTCTATCATAATCCAGAGTTTTGAGAAGATTGGAGAAACTTCATTTTTCGCCAAAAATGAAAAAAACGAAAGGGTAACACTGTCGTTTTTTTTTCGGGTCGAAATTTTGAATTTCGATATCTCAGCTCTGGAAGGGTCTAGAGCCTCCATTTTTGCACTCAGGTCAAAGTCTCGGCCTCTATCAAGAATCCAGAGTTTTGAGAAGATTGGAGAAACTTCATTTTTCGCCCAAAAATGAAAAAAAACGAAAGGGGTAACACTGTCGTTTTTTTTTCGGGTCGAAATTTTGAATTTCGATATCTCAGCTCTGGAAGGGTCTAGAGCCTCCATTTTTGCACTCAGGTCAGAGTTTTGAGAAGATTGGAGAAACTTCATTTTTCGCCCAAAAATGAAAAAAAACGAAAGGGGTAACACTGTCGTTTTTTTTTCGGGTCGAAATTTTGAATTTCGATATCTCAGCTCTGGAAGGGTCTAGAGCCTCCATTTTTGCACTCAGGTCAAAGTCTCGCGCCCCTCTATCAGAATCCAGAGTTTTGAGAAGATTGGAGAAACTTCATTTTTCGCCCAAAAATGAAAAAAAACGAAAGGGGTAACACTGTCGTTTTTTTTTCGGGTCGAAATTTTGAATTTCGATATCTCAGCTCTGGGAGGGTCTAGAGCCTCCATTTTTGCACTCAGGTCAAAGTCTCGCGGCCCTCTATCAGAATCCAGAGTTTTGAGAAGATTGGAGAAACTTCATTTTTCGCCCAAAAATGAAAAAAAACGAAAGGGGTAACACTGTCGTTTTTTTTCGGGTCGAAATTTTGAATTTCGATATCTCAGCTCTGGAAGGGTCTAGAGCCTCCATTTTTGCACTCAGGTCAAAGTCTCGCGCCCCTCTATCAGAATCCAGAGTTTTGAGAAGATTGGAGAAACTTCATTTTTCGCCCCAAAATGAAAAAAAACAAAAGGGGTAACACTGTCGTTTTTTTTTTTTGGTCGAAATTTTGAATTTCGATATCTCAGCTCTAGAAGGGTCTAGAGCCTCCATTTTTGCACTCAGGTCAAAGTCTTGCGCCCCTCTATCAGAATCCAGAGTTTTGAGAAGATTGGAGAAACTTCATTTTTCGCCCAAAAATGAAAAAAAAACGAAAGGGGTAACACTGTCGTTTTTTTTTCGGGTCGAAATTTTGAATTTCGATATCTCAGCTCTGGAAGGGTCTAGAGCCTCCATTTTTGCACTCAGGTCAAAGTCTCGCGCCCCTCTATCAGAATCCAGAGTTTTGAGAAGATTGGAGAAACTTCATTTTTCGCCCAAAAATGAAAAAAAACGAAACTGTCGTTTTTTTTTCGGGTCGAAATTTTGAATTTCGATATCTCAGCTCTGGAAGGGTCTAGAGCCTCCATTTTTGCACTCAGGTCAAAGTCTCGCGCCCCTCTATCAGAATCCAGAGTTTTGAGAAGATTGGAGAAACTTCATTTTTCGCCCAAAAATGAAAAAAAAC